CTGAGGGGCCCCCACCCCCAATGCCACCGCCTGTCCCTCCCCAGCTCCGGGCCCGTCTCCCGGCACAGACAGGGCACAGAACTGGGACCCAAGGCTGTGCCCTGCCCCCTCCCACCAGCCCCGCGTCAGCCTGCTCCCACCCAGGCTCATGCTGCACCCCAACCTCTCCCACCCGTCCCCTCCCTCCCAGCTCCGCCTCCTGAGCGGTCCTGCTGCTGTGGGGTCCCCCCCCCCGAAGCTCCCCGAGGGCAGCGAAGCCCAATCCTGCAGCACAGACCCCAGAAGGGCAGAGAAGTTTCCACAAGGCCCAGCTCAGCCACCCTCTGGCCCTGTGCCTGGGGCAAGGGACTGAACCTCTGTGCCTCAGTTTCCTCCCGTGGCTCAGAGAGACAGCGGCTCTCGCCCGAGGCGGCTGGGCGAGCCGGGGTGCATCCCAGCAGGAGCCCCTCGGGCAGGGGACCAGAGGATGTAAGGACCCCGGAGAGGCCCCAAAGCCAACCTAACCCTCTCCCTCCGCAGCGCCGGCCCCTGGTCCTCCTGCTGGGGGGGGCGGGGGGGACACTCGTAGGCCTCGCAGGGCGGGGCAGGTTCCATCAAAGCCCCCAGCACGCACACCCGCTGCGAGGGGAGGTTGCTGTTGACATGGCCCCTCCTCATCCAAGGGCCGTGGCGCTAACAGACCAGCAGCCCAGGGAGGACGCGCACAGGAGACCGGGCCAGGGGGTGAGTGCTGAGCAGCCTCGGCCGGGGAGGCATGCCGGGCACTGAGGGCAACACAAGGACCCCCACCCCCACCACGTCCAGGTCTAGGAGAGCTGAGTGGCTGGGACAGGGGTTGCAGGGCTCAGGGTGGGGTGGCCCGGCCCGGGTGGCACACCTTCAGCTGGGTCCGGATGTTGTCACGCTGGAGGCGGGAGGCCCGTTTCTGAGTCACCTTGTGGTCCCAGGAGCAGAAGACGGTGATGGCATGGGCCCCCAAGGTGCTGCCCACCCGGTAGCTCTCCCCGAAAGAGTGGGACATGCTGTGAGGACAGGGTGGGGAGGGTGAGGGCGGGGAGCGGAGGCCAGAAGGCAGCAGGACACTCCCTACAGCCAAAGCCCACCCCCACGGAGAGGAGCCCCCTCCTCCGGCCCAGCTCTCGGCGCCTGGTGTGGGCCTGTGGCCACTCTAGGTCAGCCCTGTGCAAACCCGGTGCCCACCAGCGCCTGGTGGCTAGAGGATCGGACTTGACCCCAGACAGGGCCGCTGCTCCTGCCGGGACAGGGCGGTAGATGTGGGCTTTGCACTGACTCCCAAAACCAAAACACCTTCCTCCCTTCCCTGAACCTGCCCTGAGGCCAGTGCCACCTCCCCTAGGAAGCCAGCCTGACTCCTCCCCCAGTGCTCCATGACTCCTGGGCACACACCCAGCCTCTCACTGGTCTGCCTCCTCCCCTGGACAGCAAGCTCCTCACTTATCTTCCTGCCCCAAGCACAGTGAATGTTGTGGGGTGGATGGATGGACAGATGAGTGGATGGAGTGATGGGTGGATGGTGGATGGGTGGGTGGATGGGTGGGTGGATGGATGGATGGATGGATGGATGGAT